CGGAAAGCGTAAGTCAACGCTTTCAAAAGCTCTTTCGTGAAGCCTTGGATACCATCAAGTTAGAAGCAACTAGTCATGAGCTCATTAGAGGGACTACAATCYCTTGTGCGACTCTGGTCTTAGGAGTGTTGGTGTCCATCAAGCGGGAGGGAGCCTTAGAGATGAGGGTGCCCATCAAGCGCTTTAAGCGAAAGCYAAATCAAGCGCTTGACAATGGCATAAAGGAGATGCAAAAGAAGCAACTCAACCGCTTTTTGAAGCTCCCTAGGGTTTTCATTTATCTCTCGCTCTACTCCTGTTGTTGCAATGCCAAAGAAGTGCTACTTTATTTGAAAGATCTATGGTTGAGTCGAATCAAAGCCTTTCGGCAACAATGCAAAGGCAAGGAAAAAGAGGAGAAGAAGATCGATCTTGACCATATGACGAGTTATTGCTACAATGGGTTTGAATGTTGTATGTTTCACTAGAGTTGCAAGATTCATGACGACTTGATGGTTAGACCCCTGTTGAATCGAAATTCAGTGGCCTTTCCAATTTAAAATCAATTTTCAATTTTTTTAATTGGGTGACCACAAGTGATTCCGATAAACCATTAAATGACATATTACTATTAATTCACAACACTATTTGCATTTTTCATTATTTTATATGGGAAAATCTATAATGTTAGAAAGACATGGTACTAGAAGAGCTTTGACCCACCAAAATCCATCCATGAATTTTGATAAATATCACTTCATTGGTTACCACATTTATGATACTGGATGATTGGTTACAAGATTTTTCAGATATGATGCCTTTCCGGTATCAAAGTTGCATATTGATCTTTGTAGGTAAAAGAAAACACATTTAAATATCATCAGATCAAATCATATCGGATATTAAAAAGTGAAGTGGTGGATTCGAGTCGAGTTGAGCCGAAAATTTGAGTATTCGAGCTCAGCTCGGTAGGAAAATGCAAGGCTCAAGCTCGGTTTGATTGCAGAATTCATAGGTTCGAGCTCAATAATGAACTGAACCATAGGGTTCTTATCGATTTGTAGTTCTCTACAGACTACAGAATTCACAGGTTTGAATGTGAAGCTTTGGTTTATTCACCCTTAATGGGGGCAATGCCACAGGGTTCTTGTCGATGCAATCAATCCTTCCAAATTCCAAGTCCCAAGTCCCAACTGTAGTCTGTAGAGAAAAACCCCAAATCAGAAGAAGAAGAAGAAGAAGAAGAAGAAGAAGAAGAAGGAGCAAACCGTTGTCGTTGGACATTGGTTGTGAAAGCACTGAGAGTGGTGACTACTTAAAAGAAACCAAGAAGCCTATGAGTTCTTGTCATTCGACTCTGTTTGATACTGATTGTGTTTCGACTTTCGTGGATTTTGTAGCAGAGAGTGAGAGAGATTCAGAGGCGTCAAAATGGTTGTAGAGGGGAACAAAACTCTAAGAGCCTGAGACCGAAAGGCTCCTTCCACTTTCGAACAATATTGGCCTAACTAGGTGAGAGCTGAGAGCTTGAGACCGTTGACCAATGAGAGTTGTGAGAGCAAAGGAGAACGAAACTCTGAGACTGAAGTCTGAAAATGGAAGTGAAGAAACTAGAAAGAAAGGGTTTAGGTTTTGACTTTTGATCGAAGAGGGATATTTTCTCCCTTTGTCTCTAATCTTTTTTACAAAGAAGAAGTATATTATGTGTAGGCACCATGATATAACTGTGTCCCTACCAATAAATTTTTCTAAAATAGTATGATACATATACACTTATATACATAATACATATAATTTAAATATGTACATATATATATACATACATACATATATAGAGGCTCGATAGGCTCGCAAGCCTAACGAGCCGAACTTTAAAATGTTCAAGCTCGGCATGATTGATAGACGAGCCATATATGAGGCTCGAATTCGGCTCAAAGCTCAATATGGGTCGAGCCGAGACGAGCTCGAATAGCTTGTGAAAAACTCAGTTCGTATCCACCCCTAGTGGATACCCATATTCAATCCAATCAT